TTTGTGTCTATTTTCTTTCGGTTGCGGTGTAAGTTCTTGAACTTTTTTGAATTTCAATGGCCTTACCCCGAAATCATTTTTCAATATTTGCCAAATGGAATATTGTGATATATTCAGCTTAAAAGTAATTTGTCGGCCATTGCGACACGGGTTTCGATCAAGTTGCTTCTTTACTTTTCGAACCATTTCTGCTTATATTCCTGTTTTCTTCCGTCCACTTCCTTGACGTCAGGCTACGCTACCAGTATCACGGTAACGAGCGATGGTACGAGACACAAAAGATTTATTCACATTTAAATGCTGCTTTAACGATAGCCACATGTGTTTTTCCAGCCAAATACAAAGAAATCACACTTCTCACCAAAATGATTTTGTATGCTTGTAACCAATATAATGAGCTGTCACTGGAATAATTTTAACAGCTGTCGAACGAGTGGCTTAGTAATGACAACAGTCTGTAGTTGGTTGCAGTTTTTTCATCTCATCCTGTATAGTGTATGAAACTAGGAATTTACAGGAATTACAACGCTTCTATAGAGATTTAAAGCCAATTTTGAATGCAATTCTCCTTTAAATGATTCAAATACTATCATAAGCTGATAAGCATAATTCCTACTGAGACTTCTTTCCCGTAAGATTTGAAAACCCTTAGTATCTTAACTGTCTTTTCGCTTTTTTCTTCTGACTATCGAACAACGTCTTATAATACCAAGTTCACTCGGTACTTTATTCTTCTATATTCCTTGTTCGATACTTAATTATTAAACATCTGCTCAATTAACCACACAAAATGTGTATTCCTAATCCTAACAATTCAGAGGATTTGTCGAAAAAATAAATTTTGACACTTTCGACCAAATTCGAACATTAAATATTTTATTTAACAAGTGTGTTTTTGTTTTTGTTGTTTTGCTTTTATTTAATTCCTTTCACTCGTTTCTTTGTCATCAAGGTCATGTATATCTGCGAATATTTTTCTCATCACGAGTATGGAAAATGCCTGTTTTTGATTTTTTCATTCTCAGTTCTGAAAAGCAAATCACATAAAGAAATTCAGTCAACATAATTTGAAATAGAAAAGTTTGAGTTTATTTAATGATTTCTGCAAGAATATTAATTTTGGTTCGTATTTATTTGATATTGAATATTACCATAAGTATCATAAATCAATATATTAGAAGAATTTGATGATGCTTAGTAACCCAATCAAATTGGATGATAAATGCTCCTATTCAATTCTATTCGGGGCAATGCATTAAAAAAAATTGTCGAATATATGAGAAACACGAGTACAAAATTGATCTTGACAATAACACATGAGTAGTTGCCCTCAATTTGAAGGTTGTGGGTTCTTGATTTTACACTTTTATCGCATTGTTTTTCTTACGTTTACTACTTCCTGTTCATACCCTCTCCTCCGTAAACAGTAGGCAATAAAATTTTTGCGAAAATAAAGACATTAGCGTAGATAAATTCCTCTAGGGGCGTGGAATGGGAATATTCAAATATTTGAGAGGTTCCAATAAGTCTTCATATTTGTATTTCAAACTCCTTGCCAAGAAAATTTAGTTGTATAGTTCAAAAGGATACTGTTTGTGGCCTCCTGCCAACTGGCTACGCCATTGGATGATTTCGTTTTTATTTTCTTCTTCTATTTTTTCTTTGCAAATAACCACTTGCCACAAACTAAAACCAAGGAATTTCTCTTAAAAAAACCCCAGAAAGAAATAAAAATGTTTGGCATTTTGCCGGGAAAATATTTTCAGCATAATGAAAATTCATTTCATTTTCACGGCGAATAAAATTAGGGGGAAATTGACATTGTATTTTATTTGATAGTCTATATGTAGAACAAATGTTTGTATTATGTGTGTCGACAAAACTTAAAAAAAATTTTTTTTTTTTTTTTCTAAAAAAATAGAAAATCTTGCCAACATACATTCGTTTGAGGTACCACCTATATGCGTGTGTTTTGTATGTTTGTTGATGTTTATGATGACATAATTCTTGATTATTCATACATAACAGTCATAATTCGCGCTGACCTCTTTCACTAGATCACAAATGAAGGAAGGACTTGGTATTGAAATAAAGGTCATTGTTTAAAGTTGTACAAATTGTGTTGTTTTCAATTATTTAATGTGGTTTATAATGCATAAAAATCAGAAATAATCAAAATTACAAAAATGAATAAACATCAATTAATTCTTATCATTTTTCATTTCATTCACTTTTTATATATCAGCAAAATATAGGGAACAATTTTATAAAAAGTTCTCGAAATCTACTCGGAACTCTTTTTGAAATTCACCCATTTTTATACCCTCCACCTTGTAAAGGAGGGTATATTAAATTTGTCCTTCCGTTTGTTACACACCATAAAGTATATATATTCATGATCAGCATAAAATTCTAAGTCGGTGTCCGTCTGTCTATCTGCCCGCTGAAATCATGATACAGCTCACAATATTTGACGTAAAATTTGGCACAGTAGTTTGCATTGTGTCAAGGATGGTTGGTATTGAAAGTGATATATATCGGTCCAAGTTTTGGAATAGCCGGTACCTCCCGATATTCGATATTTTGATGATTTTCACAACATTTAATCATGGGTTTGTCTAAAAATTGGTATTTGTAGGTCATAATGGGTTCTAGCTCCGGTGGCGAAACATTGTATGTATAGGTCCACGTTTTTGTATAGCCCCCATACAACGGTACCTCCCGATATTCCGTATTTTGATGATTTTTGCCACATTTTTCCAAGGATTTGCCTAAAAATTGGTATTTGTAGGTCATAATGGATTCTAACCCCGGTGCCGAAACATTGTGTGTATGGGTCCACATTATTGTATATCCTCCATATTTAGACGCAACAATTTGTCTTATTTATTATACCCTCAGCCATATGGCTAGAGAGGCTATATATAATTTGATACGGCTAAAACGTGCCACATCAATAACGCTTTTAGACCCTACGTGGTTTCTTTGGACCAAATCCGTTTCAGGACATTTAGAGTCGATCCAGCGATGTCCGTCCGTCAGTCTGTCTGGCTGGTGCACACGATAACTCTATTTTGCTCCAACTTTGTAAATCCTAATATTTGCATCAGTGCTACGTCAAGTGCGAAAATGGACAATATCGGTCCACTTCATCAATTACCTCTCCCACAAAGTGTCAAAATTTTGAATAATTATAACACTAATAAAATGTGATGTAAGTTTCTGATTGCCTTCAAATTTCACACATCCCAATATTTTTATTAACCCAAGATCTGGTGTTAAGATGGAATACATCGGTCCACTCCTTATGGTACCTCCCCCACAAAGGGTCCAAATTTTTAATCGTCATGAAGCTCACAAAACACGAAATTAATATCCGCTTCCATTCAGACTTGGCATATCTCAATATTTCCATCAATACAAGATCTGATATAAATATGATAGATATCAGACCATTCCTTCTGGTACCTCCCCCACAAAGTGTCAAAATTTTTGAAAAATTACAACTCTTATAAAATGTGATGTAAGTATCCGATTGTCTTCAAACTACACACATAACAATATTTTTGGTAACCCCAGGTCTGGTGTAAAGATGAAATATATCGGTTCACTCCTTCTCGTACCTCCTCCACAAAGTCTCAAAATTTTGAATATCCATGAAACTCATAAAACGCGAAATTAACATCAGATTCCATTCAGACTTAGTTCATCTTAATATTTCCATCAACACAAGATCTGTTATAAAGATGGTATGGATCGGACCATTTCTTCTGGTAGGAAGGATTCAAGATTTTGAAAAACAAAACGCTCAAAGAAAGCGAAACAATCATCCAACTCTCATTAAATTGCACACACACAAACATTTTTGCTAACACAAGATCTGTTGTGAAGATGATATATATCTGCGAACCCCTTCTGGTACCTCACCCACAAAAGGTCACAATTTTCAATACTTTTATCTGTCATAACTTGCGAAATAAGTCAGCTATACTTTACAACTTATTCTAGGTAAATATTTCCCTCAGTGAGAAACCCGAGAAAAATATGGAATTTATGTTTTCGCATTAAATTGGATATAAATGTTATATTTTCTTGTAATTTTGCCCATACCAATATTTTTATCTGTATTAGATGAAGTTTGAAAATGAAATACTTCCATCTACTATTATATCTGGTACCTCACGCACATTTTAACATTTTCTAAAAACTTATGTGATAGTTTTTAGTCATGTAACCAATATAGTCCAAACCTGGCACATCGCAACATTTATATCATATTTATTTAGGTGCGATACGAAATGGACAATATTGGTCCATTCCTTCGGAACCTTTTCCATAGAGGATCAAACATTTGAATAATAATAACCATCAAAATATATATTTAAATAATTTAACATTGGCTGCCGGCAAAAACGACTGATACTTTTTAAATTGTTTTTTTTTCTATTTTAGAATGATTTAAAAATTGTCTAGGGTTTCCTTCGAAAATATGATTCACGGTAAAACTGGCTAATATCTTAAAGACCCGCCCGCCATTTATTTTTTTTCTAAATATTGAATTTGAAAATTCTTTGTGTTTATTTTTCCAAACAAAAATACAAACACAAAATTGTATTGGACTAGGCCTCAAACTTCCTGGCGTTCAAACGAAGTCGTATAAATAATTTGTAGAAACTATAAAACTTAAAAAGTCAAGAAGGTCTCAACTAAAAAAGATGAAATATTAATAAATAAATTAGAAAAATATTTAGAAGTTCCCACGCTTTAAAATTAAAGTACACTAACGTACCAAAAAAAGCTTCCCCTCTACTAACGGCTACCACATTTCCTTTGGAATAATATAAAACCGAAAATAAAATCAAGTTTGAAATGACGTTTTTTACTCTTTTACTACCACTGTTGCATTGACATTTTCTCACACAAACAAACAAACAAACGAACAAAAAATTAAACCAATAAATTGTCCTGGGGTGGTGGTATCTGCTACACAACAACAACAGTTGTTTATGTGTCACCAAATGGCCATGAAGAAGGAGGCCAATGAAAAACAAAAAGCTGATGAAGTACGAAGACAACAAATTGGTGTAAGTACCAGAACCAAAACTAGCAACGATTCCACCCGCACTCCATTGCAAATGGTTGGGAGGGAGGGATGGATGATGTTGTTTTCAATATTGTGTGGATGGGTGTAAAAAGGCTAACCTCCCTAATAAGCAAAACAAACAAACAAAAAAACCAAAAAATCAACCATAAAACCCTTAATATATATCTACCTTCTTGGAGCATGTTTGCAACGTAAGCCGCCTACTAAACAAAAGCTAAGCAAGGATATTTATCTTAACCCAATATGCCGTTTCTGCTGTAAATTTGCAAATAATTTTATTAGCTAGCCTCTGACAAGCATTGCCTATTTTGTTAAATGCCATAATTGTACATACATATATTATATATGCCATTTAATTATATAACTTTATGGCTAATGTCTTATTCTTTCCATTTAATTTTAGGTTGGTGTACCAATTATCTGGGTTTTGGGTGGTCCCGGCTGTGGCAAGGGTACTCAATGTGCCAAAATTGTGGAGAAATATGGTTTCGTCCATTTGTCCAGTGGTGATTTGTTGCGTGAAGAGGTATGTGTTGTCGACTTTGTGTCTTAATTGAATTTGATAAGGTGTTAATTATTGCATTCTCTATTGAAGGTTGCCTCCGGTTCACCCAAGGGCCAAGAATTGGCTGCCATCATGAAGGAGGGCAAACTTGTTTCCAATGATGACGTTTTGGGTCTATTGGAAAAGGCTATTCGTGAAAGACTAAATGGCGCCAAGGGTTTCCTTATTGATGGGTATGTAGTTGTTGTTGTAATATGAGAAGCTTTACATAATATTAGGAAATTATTTTGAACGTGGAAATTAGGGTTAACATTAAACGAAGGCTGCAATAAGGAATATATTTAATACTTTTGTATGTCTTCCACGTCTTGGGAATATTTGTTCACTTGAAATTTCAAGACATTTAGACCTTTTTATCAACCTTGTAATATTGCAGATTGAAAATTGCACAGGCATAGATAGAGTGTGGGGTAAAATTATATATATTGGCCTACTCGTAATTATAGCGCCAAAGAACGATTACTTTTGTTTTTCGATGTTTTCAAAATTTTTGACTAGATTTTCAATCGAACTTGCTGTAATTTGACATTTTTGTACAGACCTCACATAATGGTCCCTTGTTGAACTTATACTTACCTTTATACTAGTTATAGACCCCAAAAAACAATTCCTTCTTTTTTGCAATGTGTCAATTTTGATTTTGATTTTGTTTTAAACGACCCTATTAAACTCCCCAACTTTTTATAACACGGTCTCTTCTGATATTGGCACTTCGAATGATTCCATCCCAATTTGGCATGAGCCCCACATTGTTGCAAATAATGTTTCATTTTGTTCCATATTTTGATAATGCTTCCATTGAATGGTAGGCCCTATTAATGGTATTTTGAATTTGTTCACGGATAAGTGAACATGTTTTTATAATAAAAGAGAATAGCGGGGCTACCTAGTGTAGATGAGAGGGATTTGTTAAACTGGGATCTTCTTAATACAGTCCACATGAAATAAGATAAGAAAATGTGGTGAGCAGACCTTCGAGTTAGAAATAAATAATACAGAATTGTCACTTGCTGCATGTGTTATGGTGGAGTTAGATTATGGGATGTAATCTTTACTCAGACTGATAAGCAAGTGCAACATGTTTGCTTGCCACATGTGAGATAGCTATGCGTGTGTTTGACCTCCCCCTAAGGTTTATGGTGGCATGGTGCATATGCATGTGTGCGGTTGGTATATATCTCTCTTTCTCTCTTATTTACACTTAATTATAATTTAGGTTAAGTCATATTATCACAACTAGTTCTTAAGTCATATTTTTAATAAATAAATTCAGTGTCTTACAAACGCTCAAACAGCTGGAATTGTTCCCATACAGAAGAAATTTATAAGCCAAATAAAAGGATGCTGAGTCAGAAGGAAACTTCAGCACAGAAGACTGTGGTGGCGGTGCACACCGAGGGGGCCTCATATTTGAAATCTTCAGACAGAAGGGGTGATGCATATGCCCAGGAGGACGAATGGGTGAAACGGCCGCCAATGATGAAAATAAAGGAAGAGGCTGCCACTCTTCTCGAAATGATGGGTACAATTATGGAAATAATGAGTACCTTAAAGACAGAAGAAGCCATAGAAGGCGTATTTGACTTCGCCAAAGAAAAAATTATGGACGCGGCAAAAGACGTAATATTGTATCCAAGCGTTCATAGGCGGTTTTTAGAGATGCTTCTAAAGAAGTCCAAATTAGCCGCTGCTATCAGAGCAAGTCAGCCGAATGGGACAGCGAAGCTGTATTTGGAAGATGTTAAGGTCATCCTTAAAGTCACGCAGGCTCTTAATGTGGAGACCAAAGAGAAAGTCCTTGGCTTGAAGAAACAAGTGGCCTACATAACATCCGAATTGGACAGCGAGCGAGAGGGGCGCAAAGCAGCGGTAGCCGTAATGAGAAAAATGGAAGGTGATATTAAGGAAATGGAGTTTGCCTTGATTTCACAGAAAGATGAAAAAGAAGATGCCCTCAAACTTGTGTCCAAATTGAAGGAAGAAGTCGAAAATGCTGTGTGTGTAGCCGAGGATACTAAGGACAAATTACGAGCGGCTAACCAGGAGGCAGAACGCGAGGGCAAGGCGTTGAAGGCGGTAATAAGACAACTTAGTGATGAGTTGTCTTGTGCAAAAAGAGAACGACTTGCAGCTGCAACTGAACGTGACCTGTTGGCTGCAAATCTAGAAGATGGTGAAGAAAAAGAAAGAAGGATATTTCTGCTGGAGGCTGAAATATTGCAACTTAAGGAAGAGTTGCTCATATCGCAGAAAGCATCCAAAATCGAGGCTGATGAATTGGCTGCAAAATTAGTGGTCAATATCAACGAAGATATGATGGTTGAAGAGGTTTATATGGAAGACCCAATTGCCGAAAGAGAATCAACTTTGGAAAAGGTAGATGAACAGCTCCCTGGAAAACTGGACACAGGGAGATTGGAAGAAGTCGAAGATAAGCTGTTTGCCAGCAAGATGAAAACTAAGAAGAAAAGCAATCTGCGTCGCTGGAATAATAAGATGCTGGAAAAAAATCAAGTTGTAATGAAGATGCCTAGTGGAATTTGTGCAGCGAATAAAATACAAGCCGAAGTGACAGAAAATTATGAACGCTGGAACGATAAACTGTCCAAGGTCGGTGAGATGGCGCTTCCAGAGAAGGATGAGAACTTTGGCTACAAAAAGAAGACGACAGATAAAATGGATTCAGCCTGGAAATTGAAGCCGGCAGACAAGAGAGGTGGAACCTTTAAGAGAGACAGGCTGGAAAGATGGAGGAGTTACTTGGGTGCTATAACTTAACTTCTTTTCTCTTAAAATGTCACTTCTATTAGATCTATTTTATTGTTCATATTTGTAATTTTTATATTTTATATGTATTTTTGCCCCTGCCAAGAATGTTCACGGATAAGTGAACATGTTTTTATAATAAAAGAGAATAGCGGGGCTACCTAGTGTAGATGAGAGGGATTTGTTAAACTGGGATCTTCTTAATACAGTCCACATGAAATAAGATAAGAAAATGTGGTGAGCAGACCTTCGAGTTAGAAATAAATAATACAGAATTGTCACTTGCTGCATGTGTTATGGTGGAGTTAGATTATGGGATGTAATCTTTACTCAGACTGATAAGCAAGTGCAACATGTTTGCTTGCCACATGTGAGATAGCTATGCGTGTGTTTGACCTCCCCCTAAGGTTTATGGTGGCATGGTGCATATGCATGTGTGCGGTTGGTATATATCTCTCTCTCTCTCTTATTTACACTTAATTATAATTTAGGTTAAGTCATATTATCACAACTAGTTCTTAAGTCATATTTTTAATAAATAAATTCAGTGTCTTACAAACGCTCAAACGGAAAAGACGTTTGGTCTTTTAATTAATCCCAATTTACAGAATTCATAACGAGTAGAAGACTGACTTCAAATAAATTTTAGAATTATTACAGGTGTTTATCCCGAATTATAGTAGGAATGTGGAAACAAGTAAAAAGAAGTTAAGTTCGAAAGGAACTTGAAATTTAAAAAAAAAAATAAAAAATCCGACGAAAAATACCGCTCAAATAATAAACTTTATATGGGGGCTATACAAATTCGAAACAATTCCGGTAAATAATGTCGCTAATATCATCAAAATACCGAATAAAGGGAGGTACCGTTGTATGGGGTCTATACTAAAAAGTTGACTTGCATAGACAATTTTCCGTCATATTTTGTAGTACCCATTACGAATTTCAAATACGTAATTTGACGCAATTCAGGTGAAAATTATCGTGAAAATCCTGGAAATTCCGAATATGTCAGGTAGTGTGTCTACTATGTAGACAATTCTCTTCCAGGAGCTAAAGTACTCAGAGTGAACTCCTTGTGTGGATTTTCAGATTATTCCATTGTAAAATGTAGCTAAAATCATCATAAAAATACAAATATCGGGGGGCACCATTGTATGGGGGCTATACGATATCCTGGACCTATATAGACAAATCTCTTTCAATTCAATGAATTTTTGTCTTTTCGTCTTCTATATAATTCGTTCAAAAATTTAAAAACCCCTGTATCTGAGTTGAAAATTTAAACAAAGTTAGGTGTGTCTGGTAATTTTTTGTTCAGGAATTGTCCAGCAACTTCTTTCTGAGAGAGTAAAGTAGTTTTATTCTCTTTTGCAAGAAAACTGTGAAAAGTAAACAGACGGAATCCCGGCAAAAACTTGCATGAAATCAGCTGGTTTATCAAAACAAAACAATTTGTGCGTCATAAACAGAGATTAATTTTGCAGAAATTTATAGCAAGTAAGCAAATGCTATAGTCGTGCGGGACCGACAGTGTGATACCCTACAACACTATAATATGTTCGTTTTCGAAATAATGCCATTCAGCCCCGCACAAATGTTACTTCTGTTTTTGACCGGGCGAATTTTCCCTGTCGAGCTGATAGACATTCAAAACTATTTCACACGAAAGGTGTGGTGCATTTTATATAATCCAATGGTTATCACAATGCTGGACCTCTGCCCTGTGCTAACCAATAGGCTTCAGTTTTGACCCTAACCCTACCCCGGTGCAAAATTTCGTGAAGATCGGACGATAATTGCGACCTGTATATAATACCCTCTACAAATAATGTTGTAGAGTGTAAAATTAACTTTACAAAATGTACAATTCCAAATTGTAAGTCAAATTGAAAAAATCGCATGTGATAAGAAATATAACAAAAAATTAAAAAAATTAAAAAAACATATTTACTTTTTTATTTTCATGTTTTTCCGCAATTTTCTTAGGTTTTAACTTTTTTCGGCAAGGGGCCATTTCGAATTCGTAAGAATTGTCAAAATCAGTGAAATAATTAAGATCAATTTCTGTTACATAAATATTATACATATGCCCGGCCCCAACCTCTAACACCATGCTAAATTTCGAGCCGATTCGTCTTTAATTGTGGCCTGTAGAGTAACTGAAAAATCAGGAAATTTTTCTGTTTTAGCTCAATTTCAACTCCAAAATATTTTGCAAATGTCTCCTACAACAATAAGCTTCTACTCGGGATCGGGTCATAATTGCGACCTGTAGCTTGACTAAAAATTAACATGGACAGACGGACGGACATACATAGCTGGATCGACTCAGCTCGGCGAGATAGGAAGATCTATATATAGTTCCCTATGTCGGGGACCAATACTTCGAGATGTTACATCATTTTTGGCCCAATCAAACTTATAATACCCCCAACACATAGTGTTGTAGGGTATAATGAACCAAAACCGAACAGTACAGAACAATTACGCTTGCGATTTCCCAAATAAAGACGTTTTTAAATTTTTTGTCCAAACATAAATCACCGGAAGGAGAAGAAGAGTTGCAAATTTGTTTAGCAAGAATTTGCAAACTTTCAATGAAAGAACAGCCAAAATTGTTCTCTCAAATCGCCTTTTTTCGTCTTTCATTTACAATTTGCGACAATTGTTACAAATTTTAGGGTAACCAGACACGCCTAGTACTGATGCAATTACCTTCCAGCTAGCATGTCAAAAAAAATGTTTTGGTCTTTTATTGACTTTATGTTCCTTTTTGAAACCACTGATACCTAATTATGAAATAAAAGTACGTTTACACACAAAATATGTACCCGTATTAAGCCTAGTTTGCATATAATGATAGTGTAATGTGGCACATTCAAGTATATTTTTAGCATTTCTATAGTATACTTTCTGGCACTCTCCAAAATGTTTAAACTAAAAAGAAATTTTTAAATTTATATTTTTATAATATAAATAAAAAATATATAATAATATATAGCTGTTATATAGTAAAGTATTATTTTAGTTCTAGAAAATATGCTATAAAAATGGTAAATATAAATGTGAAAGCCACTTTACGAAAGAAATAAAATGGGGGAACTATCGTTTATTATTATGAGTGTCATCTATTGATATTGGGAGAAGGAGTAAGAGAAGAGAAAACTAAAAGAGAAACCTTCCTCAATAAATGCAATTTAAAACACTTGTGAAGAGTTGCAGGTACTGCCGCATTTTGTTTACAATATCTTTGTTTTCATAGAGTGCTGTTGACCCAAAAATCCAAAACCTGCGTCAAAATATCAATCAGACGTCACGCTGTGATAATTGTAATCTACAGCAAATTATATAGAAATTGTAATTTATGATTTTGTTTTTTAACCATCTAATGAATTAATGTCCTTTTTACGATGCCAATGCCATACTCAAGATGCAAAATTGATCAACAATTTAATAGGAGTCAATGAAACTCACGTGTGGAATTTGCTTCACTTTTGAAATTCCAATGGTTTCTCGAAAAAATAAAATCACTTTGTGTTTATCCTATTCGAACGTTCGATGTCAAAGACTTGCACATTTCTCATTCTTTTTTATTGTTGATACATTAAAACATTTTTTATGACTGGCATTGAGTATTGGTGATAAAAAATGGAATTCAGAGACAATATTCTAATTAGGATGGTCTGATTAGAACAAACAAAATATTAAAGAGATATTGACATTGCCTTTCTGCATTGTCTGATCCAAAGCATACATATGTACATAAATTTGGTAGGGATTTTAATGGAGGAAATAATAAAAGTTATACGGTTTTAGACCTTAGGTCTCTTTGGGCCAAATACGTTTCAGGACATTTGGAGTCGATCTCGCAATGTTCGTCCGACCGTTTGTCTGTCTGTCTGGCTGGCTGGTGCGCACGATAACTCTCGGAGGGAGTATCCGATTTGATCCAAACTTGGTACATCGTAATATTATTGTCGCACGTAGATCGAGTTCGTAGATGGGCAATATCCGTCCACTCCTTCTGGTACCTCCCCCACTAAATGTCAACATTTTCAAAGCAAATAATTTACTGCACAGAAAGAGAAAGGATAATCCGATTTTGCTCCATCTTTGCAAATCCTAATATTTACGTCATTGCTAGGTCGGGTGCGAAAATGGATAATATCGGCCCACTCCATCAAGTAAAACCCCCACAAAGTGTCACTTTTATAAGCTGTGATGTAAGTGTCCGATTGTCTTTAAATTACACTCATTACAACATTTTTATTAACCCAAGGTCTGGTGTGCAGATGGAATATATCGATCCCCTCCTTCTGGTACCTCCCCCACAAAGGATCAAAATTGTAAATATTCATGAAGCTTATAAAACACGAAATTGATATCCGATTCTATTCAGACTTGGTGCATCTCCATATTTCCATCAACACAAGATCTGTTATAAAGATCAACACAAGATCTGTTATAAAGAAGTGAAACCATTCCTTCTGGTACCTCCCCCACAAAGAGTCAAAGTTTTGAATAAACAAAACAAGCATAAAATACGACATAAGCATCCGTCTTTTTTTTCAAATTTAACACATCTTATTATTTCTGCTAACACAAGATCTGCAGTGAAAGTAGAATATATCGGTCCACTCCTTCTGTTACCTCCTCCCACGAAAGGTCAAAATTTTAAATATCCATGAAGCTCATAAAACGCGAAATTAACATTCGATTCCATTCACACTTGGCACATCTCAATATTTCCATCAACACAAGATGTGTCATAAAAATGGTAGAGATCGGACCATTCCTTCTGGTACCTCCCCCACAAAAGGTCAATGTTTTGAATAAAGAAAACGAGCATAAAATACGAAATAAGCATCCGGCTTTTTAAAAATTTCACACTTCCCAATATTTCTACTAACACAAGATCTGATGTGAAGATGGGGAATGTCGGTCCAGTCCTTCTGTTACCTCACCCACGAAGGGCCAAAATTTAGAATATCCATTAAGCTCATACAACGCAAAATTAACATCCGATTATATTCAGACTTGACACATCTCAATATTTCTAACAAAACAAGATCTGCTGTGCAGATGGGATATATCGGTCCACTCCTTCCGGTACCTCTCCTACAAACGGGGTCAAAATTTTGAATAATTATATCTCTCATAAAAAGTGAAACAGACATGCGACTCTCATAAAATTTTACTCATCCCAATATTTCTATGAACACAAGATCTGGAATGAAGATGAGATATATCGATTTACTCCTTCTGGTACCTCCCCCACAGAGGGATCAAATTTTTAATAACAAAACTCTCAAAACTGCGAAATATACGTCCGATTCTTTTCAAACTCCAAACATTTCAACATTTTTACTAACCCAAGATATGGTGTGAAGATGATAGATATCGGTCTACACTTTGCGGTACCTCTCCCACAAATGAGCACAATTTTAAATACTTAAATCTCTCGTAACTTGCGAAGCAAGTATATGCGATTCCATTCAAACCTGGTATAACTTAATATTTTCATCAACAAGAGGGCTGACGTGAATAAATTTTTCTGCCCACTCCCTCTGGTGACTAATTTGACACCTCACGCACATTCCAACATTCTCTAAATATTATCACATATCTCATATCAACACCTTCTAATTTTTTTCATTTTCTCTATTTTCAGCTACCCACGTGAAAAGGATCAAGGCGTTGCCTTTGAAAAGAAAATAGCTCCTGCCGATTTAGTTTTATTCTTCGACTGTGCCGATGTAAGATGACAATGGAAGATATTAATAAAAACAAACTAATTATTGCTTTGTTTAAAATTGCAGGCTACTTTGGTAAGCCGTGTTATGGCTCGTGCTGCTGCATCCACCGAAAAGCGTGCTGATGATAATGAGGAAACTATTAAGACCCGCATTGCCACCTTCAGATCAAACACCAATGCCATTCTTTCACAATATACCGACAAGACCTTGACAGTGAGTTTTGTTTCCATATCTCTCTTAAATCTCTTAATCGCTCTCCCTCCCATTCAAAACACTGCCATGTTTTCTTTTACAGATCAATGCTGAACGCGGTGTTGATGAAATCTTCAATGATGTCACCTGTGCCTTGGATTGTTTAATACAAAAGAAAGCCACCGTAGTGGCCAGTGCATAAAGACGGTCACACGCGATCTATTCGATATAGTTCTACTATTTTATGTTTGTTGTTTCTTCTTAAATGTTAATTTCTTTCGTTCGTTTTTTAATTTTTAAATATGGAAATATGCACTTGCTGATGTAGCACCTACAAAATCGAGAGAATAGCTAAATAGTTTTTGAGAATACCAATGATATTATTACCGGTTGAGGAAGGTTATAGAAAACGAACTGGTCAAAATATGCTATAAACCAAAGATAAATAATGTGAGAACACTAAAACACAACAACAACAAAGCTTTAAAATGGTTTAGAACAACAACAACAGCAACCACTACTACCACTTTAGCCATTTAAATATTTATTTATTCTACAACTTATACTCACCCTACCTCCAGCAGAAAATATCGCCATCCCCTCAGTGCCGAAGAGACAAAAACAAAGCAATGCTAAAATACAAAAACGTGTCTATTTTCAATAACAAAAAAAAAATACCATTAAATGAATGTTAGTTCAATTTGTATTAAATTTAAGTCACTTTTAATTGAAAAATAAATGAAAAATTAAACAAAAAAATTAAATAATAAATAAATATTTATTCTCAACCGATTTTCCCATCACTCTTGGTGAAAATTCATTCCTTGTTTTTGCTCTGTATTTTCTCTTTGTATTTGAATTACTTATGCTGGCTAAAGGTGCCATGTGATATCTCAACTCAGCAGGCCAATTCGTAGGAGTTTGTGACGTACATAGTTACTTAGGCATCTTATTCTTCTTGTTCGCATGCTGTTAGCCACATTAATAAACAATTTCCTTATCCCATTAGCTGTGATCTCCAGCAGTTTATTTTGCCTTAAATTTACGTCATTTAATAGAACATCATTATAAAAACTCTATTGTTTAAATGCAAATGAAATATTTGTGATAAATTTACATTTTTTTTATAAAATGAAAGAAATAGGGTTAAATCGATCCTGTTCGTTTATTTGAATGTTGTAGGTTATTTACGAATATTAGGCAAATTATGCTACATATTTATTGTTTGGCGAAAATATGAATGGATGGGACAATGTGGTCACCATACTAAGAATATCTTTCCACATACAATGAGCATATGAATGTATGTATCAAAGAATGGTAAAATAACACAGTAGGTAGAGTAAAGCAAGCTCCTAAAAACAAAGCAGATGAAACATAGTTAAATTTTGAATAAGCAGGTAAAATGACTTAAGATATAGCGCGTTTAGATACACAATTTTATCCGGATTAACACACATTATCAGGATTTATTGCTTAATCCGGATTTATTCAACCAAATTTCCATAAAACAAGTCAAAAGGTATCAGTCCCTTTCATCAGTCTCAGTCGATTATTTAAATATTTTTATACCCTCCACCATTCTATGGAGGGTATATTAGCTTTGTCATTCCGTTTGTAACTCCTCGAAATATTTATAATATACTCTACAAAGTATATATATATATTCTGGATCAGAACAGTGTTGACTTGTTTGTTCGGGATACCATAGTATTTTGTTTTTGCCAAATGGTCAGGCTTAATTCCTTTATTGATGTTTTTATAAAAACAACGTTTGTTTATTGGTGGAGAACGATGATAATGTTTACAAGGGGGTAAAGCAGGGAATACCTAGGTTTCGGAAAGTAAAAAAGTAAAATTTTAATACGATCTAGCGATGTCCGTCTGTCTGTTTGTCCGTATATCTGTTGTAATCACGTATCTTTCGAACGAATTGAGATAGAAGGCTAAAATTTTGCAAACATGCATAGTTTACAAGTAGACAGGTTAAGTTCGTAAACGGGCCATGTTGGTCCACGTTTTCGTATAGCCCTCATATAACGGTAGCTCCCGATATTCGGTATTTTGAGGATTTCTGCAAAATTATTCACGGGAATCGTTTCAAATTTCGTATTGGGAGATGTTAATGGTTACTTCTACCTACGTCTTTGTCTACGTCTTCGTATAGACCACATATGACGGAACCCCCCAATACTCGGTATTTTTATGATTTGTGCGACATTGTTCACCGGAATTGTAACAAATTTCGTATTTAAAGTTCGTAATGGATACTACAGCCTATGACAAAAAATTCGTATGCAGATCCACGTCTTCGTATATCCCCCATATAACGATACATCCCGATATTCGGTATTTTGATGATTTTAGCGACATTATTCACCGGAATTGTTTCAAAACTGGTATTTGAAGTTCGTAATGGGTACTACAGCCTATGACAAGATTTCGTAAGCAGTTCCACGTCTTTAAGTTTTTTTTTTCGAAAATTTTCAATTTTCTTCCAAATGGTGGAGGGTATTAAAAGTTCGGCCAGGCCAGAACTTAGCTACTTTTATACTTGTTTGGCTTCTGATTATTCACATTGCTGACCCTCCATGAAGTAGGTTCCGAAGGAATGGACCAATATTGTCCATGTCGAATCGAACCTAAATAAATATGCTATACGATTTTATGTAAGTAAAAATAATGGGCTGTGTGAAATATTAAGAGATGTACTTATTTCAGATTTTGCAATCATTTTGGTCATTCATTTGGTCATGGATATTGAAAATGTTGACCCTTTGTGGGAGAGGTACCAGAAGAAATGGTTCGATCTTTAGCCTCTTTGTAACGGATCTGGTGTTTATGGAAATGTTGAGATTTAACAAGTCAGAATATAATCGGATGTAAAATTCGCGTTTTATGAGCTTCATGAATATTAAAAATTTTGACCATTTGTGAGGGAGGTACTTGACCGATATTGCCCATCTCCTAAATCGATCTAAGTTTGACAATAATATTACGATGTACCATGTTTGGACCAAATCGGTTACTCCCTTCGAGAGTTATGGCGCCCATCAGCCATCCAGACAGATGTACGGACGGACATTGCTAGATCGGCTCAAAATGTCTTGAATGTCCAAAGAGTCCTAAAACCGTTATTTCGGTGAAGCAAGTTTTGCCCATTTCAAATGATATATACCTCCTCACCACCGGATTTATTTTAAATCCGGCGTGCATTCTAACGGAGAGCTTCACTGTGTAAGTCGTAATGTTTCCGGAAAGGCGTTCCTTACAGTTTGCATTGGAACATTAACAACCACTAAGGAAAGGCAAAAGTCGGGCGGTGCTGACTTTATGATACCCAACACCATTATGAAACTAAAAAACATTAGTAAACTATAAAACATGGTAGACGCATCGACACAGCTGCTGGGACAATGTCCAGTCAAACCAATTTTGGTATTGAAATTTTTGAATGAAAAATTATTCAAATTTTTAAAAAATTGTTAAGAAAAACTCATATTTTAATAACTTCCGTTTGACGTCGTATAAGAAAACATATAAAAATAACTTATATTTGAAAAAAAAAACATTTTGAAACAGACATGATTAATCCGCTGGAAAAACATTTATAAAAGAAGACGTAGTTGCATATTTATTTTAGTTTGATAAACAATATCTATATGCATTTTTTGTTTGCAATTTATCGTTTGGATTCACCAATTGTTGACTATTTGCATTCTGTACTCAGATTCCAATCGAAAGTGTCTGCATATAACTTTTAAGAGGAGAGAAATTAACCTCATATGTATTTATATATACATGAGGCACAAACGCGTTTAGATGTAGTCCGTTCCAGCACTGCAAGAATGTAAGAACGTAGTTTTTACTACGGTAACCGATTTTCCCTTTATGATATTGGAGAAAATTGCAAAACTAGTAGGATATTGCAGCTTCTGGAACAGACATTTTTACAAATTTTAATAATTTTTCATTGAAAATTTTCAATTTTAAAATTGTTTTGACAGTTTGTCTCAGCTGCTGTGTCGATGCGACTTCTGCCATGCGGTCACTGAAGACAGTCAAAAAAACGTTTTATGTATTCTCAACTTGACTATAAGACCGTTCGTAAACTTCCCCAGTAATATTTACTTAGTAAGAAGTTACTGAGAAACAAGTAAGAAGAGGTTAAGTTCGACTGGGCCGAACTTCTAATATCCTCTACCATTGGGTAAAGAAAACATTTTTTTGCGAAAGTATCTTTATTTTTAAACTACAAACTCCTATAAGATTGGTTGGAAAATTGTTGGAGCTATTAGTATTACTTTACAGGGTGAGATAAAAAAACTGCAACAAAGTGAAATGCCATAATTTTTACATTTTCTTTTTTAAATTTTATTGAATGAAAGCAAAAAATTTCGGAAATAGCTTCAAATTTTAGAATAAGTTTGTTCGAATTGGTCACCTTTGGCACGAATTTTGGCTTTCAAACGGCTAATGAAACCGTCACACGCTGTCCGGATGTTGCTCTGCGGTATTTTGGCCCTTTCCCGGCGAAGCGCTTGCTTGAGGTGATCGACACTTTGGTATTTTTAGTGCCAACCTTGCTTTCGAAAATACTCCAGACACAATAGTCCAACGGTTTGGTATCCGGAGATGTTGGTGGCGATTGTGCGCTGGAAATGATGCGAAGAACCTCATTTTGTAACCATACTTCGGTGGCGCGTGCTGAGTACTGTTGGAATGTCCAAGGTCTGCGGCCAAAATGTTTGCGTGCCCCAGGCCTTAATACACCCTCCAGAATATCTTTCCCATTATATTGGGCATTTATTCTGATGCCACGGCATGCATTTATTCTGATTAATACGTGCGGAGAACGACCATCGGCTGTTATGGCGGCCCACACCATCACCATGGCCGGCGTTTGAGTTCTGGTGGCCAACCGAAGGTGCACAACAACAAATGTTTTCTCATTGGAGAAACCCAAATTCGTCAGTTCACCAATTTCGACCAAGCGAAGCAACTCTTTAGCTCTTTTGAGTCTATTTTCTTTCTGTTGCGGTGTAAGTTCTTGCACTTTTTGGAATTTCAATGGCTTTACCCCGAGCTCATTTTTCAATATTTACCGAATGGAATATTGCGATATGTTCAGCTCACGAGCCAATTTTCGGCCACAGGATATCGATATTTTAAATGAGGTTATCTTTAATTAATTGTACCACAAATTGAGGGAAAAATATCATATCTGAAGAACAAGCATGTTAATTATTTATAATACATTTATACTTTTTTACCCTACGAGCCTATGTTCTTTTCCGAAGAAGCCAGCCGATGACATAAGTCAATCAAAAAAGCGTTTTATGTATTCTCACCTTCAAAACTTCCTTTAATTTGAATATACTTAAGGGGTCTATAAAAATGATCTTAATAAATCAACTGGATTTATTTATTATTACATATGTAAATGCTCTATTATTATAATTAAAATTTGAATTCATCCAAGTTCTTTTTGAATAGTCAATCACATGGCTGTTTGATCTCGAAAAATCGCCAAGTAAATTATCGAACAGGGAACGTGAATGGTGTGCTATTTGATTTTTTATGATGTGAAGAAATCGCATAAAATCTGGTGTTATTTATATTTGACAAAGCCCAGAATCAAATAAATGTCAATATCCATTTGAATAGATAACAGATATGCTAACAGATCTTGTTCGAATATCTGACTATACATGTCGATGTCGTCTGCCACTGGATGGAGTCACGTATGATAGTGGTAG